CAATGCATCCTTGCAGAATTTTAGTGATGCCCAATTTCCCCTCACAGAAATCATGTTGCATTTTCCTATGTGTTCTTTTTACTTATGTGTTCGGCATCCTGTCACAAATTCTACAAGCTTGCTTGGTTTTAAAGTCTGTCTCAGTAGTCTGTAGTTCCCAGGTCTTTCTTATGGATGGAAGCCAGGTTGGCAATCCACCAGTCTTCTGGCACAGTAGCTATTTGTAACAGCAATTTATTGCACGTGTGAACTTACAGGGTGGGTCAGTATATACTTTGGCATTTTATCTTAAGGATAATTCCTAACATAATTTTATCAACAGTAAGAACTAGAGAAAATACTGTTTTCTGCCCATATTGCTTTGGCACCAGGCTCAGGGGACTGTTATGGTTTTTCCTCAGAATGAGCGGAAGGAGACAGGAAAAAAAGAGCCTTATCTAAGTTACTGAATGCCTTTATGTTTGGAGTCTGAAAGCACTTCCCAGGCAGTAACCTATAATTTTAGGCTCTTGTAGCTGTGTATTCAGTTTTTACCAGATTAACTCTTGTTAGTAAGTCTTGTCAGTTGCAAGCTGCAACTTCTATAAAGCTGTATAGACGGTGAGATGACTAACGCGAGAAATAAAGCAAGAAAGGTTCTATCTGGGTATGGATAAATGTAGGAAGAAACAGTGATGGCTTTTTGGCCAGTGCCTGGTCAAATGGAGATGGGAAGTTCCTGGCACAGGGGCAGTATGAAGTCTTTTGAAGGGCATCATTTAAATGCTCTGTGTGTGCACACAGTGGGGTAATAGGCACTAGGGAAGAAACAAAGTTTACCCAAGACCTGATCTTCTGACTTCAGGGAACTTAGTCCAATAGACACAGACATGGCTAACCGGAAGATAGCAATGCATGTAAAAAGTGTTGAAGTCACAGGACCTGGGTTCAAATTTTTTTGCTATGAATTCAAGTAGAATTGCTCTACAAGTTTCTTTCACTGTAAAATGATGGGATTTGACTGGAAAGATTAGGGACCTGTCATAGTATATTTAGATCTCAAAAAGACATTTGCCAAACTCTATCATGATATGCCTAGAGGGAGAATAACATCATGCGGGCTGGATAACAGTAGTTAAATGGATTCATAGAATGCTGAAATCCATAAAGTGTTGACTAATGGACCATGTCAGCTTGAGGGAGCTCTATAATGGCACGCCACATGACTGTCTGGCTTTAATGTCATCACTGATACTGACTTCCTATAAGACAACTAGGTGGCACAATCAATAGAATATTGCAGTTGGCGTCAGGAGGACCTGTGTTCAAATCCTGCCTCACTTACTAGCGTGTGACCCCGGGCAAGACCCTTAACCTTCTTAGCTTCTTTATCCATAAAATGGGGATAACAAAAACACCCCCATAGGGTTGCTCTGAGGATCAAATGGAATGGCATATATATAAAGTGTGTTGTAAATCTTGAAGCACTTTATAATAAATGCTAGCTATTTGAAGGATATAAGGCATTACTGTTATAAAATCTGCAGATGACATAAAAGAAGAGAGGAGACAGCTACATTATTGGGCAAAAGAATCAAGATTCAAAAGGATTCAACAGATTCAAACAGTAGGCCAAAGCTAGCAAGATAAAATTCATTAAGCTCAAAAGCAGTGATGCACTTAGGTTAAGAAAATCACCTGCCACATAGAGGATGAGGTAGGTCTGACTTAACAGCAATTGGTGTAAAAGACATGGGGACTTCATTTGATGACAAGATTCAAGATAAGCTATCTCTTTCAACTATTAAAAAACCCAATGCAATCTTAAGGCACACTAGGAAAAATTATTCAGATCAATGAAGTTCCACTAATACCTGTGCGTCCAGAACACACCTGGAACTGTGTTCTATTCAGGTAACTAAATTTTGACATGGACACTGACAATCAATAAGCATTGATGTATACGGAATGTGCAACCGTGATGGTAAAAGGGTATAGGAACCAAGTTACATGAGAAATTTGAAGGAACTAGGTAAGAGTAACCTACAAAAAAAAAATGCCTGAAGAGTTCTCATGTACAAATAGGGGTTACTTATTTTGTAGAACTCCTGAGAGAGAGAGAGAGAGAGAGAGAGAGAGAGAGAGAGAGAGAGAGAGAGAGAGAGAGAGAGAGGGAGAGAGGGAGAGAGGGAGGGAGAGAGAGCACTGACTAGAGCCAAAGGTGGAAGTTACAGGAACATATTTTCATTTTGTTTGTGGAAATACATTCACAATAATAGCTATTGAAAAAATTGGTGCTTTGTTGGGTGGTGAGCTCCTCACAAATGTAAATGTTCAGGGTGGGAAAAGTAAACTTCCTGAAGGCAAAACCTTTTTATCTTTGAATCCTCATAATGCAGCACAGCATCTGACACCTAATAGACAACTAGACTGGACTGAAACTATGACAGAATTATCTGCTATCAGAGAAGTTGTAATGGGGATTCCTGTATTTGGTGTAAGGTGGGATTAGATGGTTTCAGTTTCTTGTAACTGTTTGATTTTCTATTTCAATCAATAATTTTCTCTTAATGTCCCTTTCCAATGATGACTGCAGCCTAAAACTAACCTTGTATCAGTGCAGCATCGAAGAAACGTGTCTACCTGTGTTTTTGCAAAGCACCTTTTAAGCATCTATTAAGCTAATATAGCATAGCTTGGTGGGAGCAGCATTAAGTCAGTTTTCAATCTGTGCACCTCATATTTCCTAAAGCTGTGGTATCAATAAGCAGGAATAATTTTTAAGGTTTCTTTTAAAATAAAATTATCAGAGTGACCATTTACTAGCTTGTCTTTTAGGTGCAACCAGATTCAACTATATGCCACAGAAACTGAACAAACAGGATAGCAAAGGCAGGATTCAGGTGAAAAATAAAACAAAAAACTGAAGGAGAGAATCCAAAGAGGAGATTTTCCTTGATTAAAATGAACATCTGTGATACGAACAAATCTGAGTCAAGTAAAACAGAAATGAAATCAATGTAAAATAAACTGCAGCAATAATTACCAGAGTCAATATAAAAAGCAAACTATGTCAATGTTTGGACATATAATTACATAAGTTATACTTGTATGATATATTAGCCTTCATTCAAACGCCATTCCTCATCGTGACTTGGAGTGACCCTGTATGCTCAAAGGCCATGCTAGTGGAATAAGTGCTGAAACCTTTTACCAAGCCGCAGATGATTCAAATACATGCTTGGGGTGGGGAGAGTGTGTGTGTGCGTGCGTGCGCGCGCCCCGCTCTCTCTCTTTCCCCATCTGTCTTGTCTGTGTGGGCCCTCTGACGATTACCCCAGTGAGGCTTGCACTGCTTTGCCCTGTTTTTGGCCACATCATCTCGTGAACAACCATCTACTAAAGTCTGGACAGCTGGTGTCACTTACTCCACTTCAGAAAATACCTATATGTGGATCCTTTGAAGTATTTTAGTATGAGACAGCTTAGGAGAAATGAGGAAAACAGACTGTGTTACTGTAAAAGAGGATAAGGAAAATATTAGGCTACTGTCAAATTTCCAGAGTTTCACACATGGGTGTGAAATATCAACTTTCATGAGTTATGTTGTAGGTTTTATGAAGGGTTTCAGATTGAATGGAAAAGTCCTCATTAAATACTTTTGTATGCCAAACACTGTATTAAGATCTGGAAATACAAACAGATGAGTTTAAAATTACATTGAAATTATTCATCTGATCAATACTTGTTGAGCCTACTAGGAGCCAGGCATTGTTCTTTGTTAGGATTTATATGTCCCAACCCCCTTATGAGACTGTTTTTCATTTAAACATGCAAAGGAAGTCAGATCATTAATTTGCTCCCTTCACCCCCAGTTAAGTTCCCTTAACTTACTCTGCTTCACAAGCCTTGGGGGTCAGTTGGCAGTTCATTCTGATCCAACCCTAAATTGAGTGAGTCACCTCCTCCTGTTCCTTCAGCTACTTATATTTCCTCCTATAGTTGCTTATATATACCTCCATAATTCACCAAAATTTATTGAGCATTACGTCTTTTAAGTTATTTCTAAGTTGGGTGAGTTCCAAAGCAACATTTTTCAGTCTCAAAACCTTCCATTCAGCACAACCTGACATTGGTATGCCTAAGCATTTTTAAACACCTGAAATAATAATGAAGCTAATAACCAACTTTAAAAATATTTAATACTGTATTAAAATATTTATAGTTGCATTTTTGCTTTAAATATCCTAAAGTTTTTCCATAGTGCTTCTGTTACATCCTTGTAATTATTCTCTTATATACTAAAACAATGAAACTACTAAACTAGTGGAATTTTGCCAAGGGCTTTCAACATAGTCCAATGGCAACATAACCAAAAGGCACAACTTAAAATGGTTTACAGAATGAATGAGCTAGTTATCAGTGTCTAGAGCAGCTGAAGGCTGGGTACAATTAACAGCATTTGTCAACATTCACAGAATCCTCTATAGAACAAACAGTCCCTACAGAACACCAGCCTCCAGCTTCTGGCACCTTAAGATCCACATGACCTGGAAACAAAAAGCCAGCCTGAAGCCCATCACCAGGGAACACAATGGTGCATTTTAGTGGTATTGGCATGACTATAATGCAACCTCTAATCAATGTCAATTATCTAGAACAATCCTGTTAACATGAGCATCATGACTGTTCAAATTATCATTGCTAGGATGTATAATCAGGCTCCTTTGGAACACTAACATTTTCTAATTCAAAACCTTAAGAACATTACAATTTTAGGGTGTAGATATGAAAAAGCCTGGTTCATCTCATTTTGAAATCTAAAAAGTTAAAGTACATTGCATTCTGTTCTTTTGCTATTTGAACATATCTCTAGTACAGATCACAAGCACTTTTACTTAGGCAAGGTTGTTTAGAAACTTAATAATTTCTTCATGGAAATAAAATTCGTTATATATGAAATAACTGCACAGCCCATGCAAGTTCATTTTTGGATGCTGATAACACAAAGAAATCCAAAGGAAGTTTCATTAAATAAATTTATTTGTTAAAATAATTTAACTCCAAATACAACTGTTGAATTTGCATTGAGTTCTATGTATAATTCTTGTTTTATCCCAAACGGCGAGGTTTAACAACTGACATTGTTACAAAACAATAAACTGTTGTTCAATTTTAAATGGTCAGTTGTATTAGAGCTCATTAATTAACTGTGAACTATATTTAATTAATCTCTGGGAAACCCCAAATCAATAATGTTAAGTCTGTTTCCAAAACCCACTGCAGTCACTCTTGAAACCCTGATCGAGATTTAACATATGCACAATGACACAGATAAACAGAAAACAAGAACTCCCATCATCTTTTAACATCTGATTGGTTGGGGAGCTTCACAATTGAAGCCTAACCAGTGCTAAGATAGAACACTGATCGGAACAAAATAATAATAACAATAATAAAAATCCACATACATACACACATGCACACATATTCCCACGTACATACAATCCTCGGAAAAACAAATGGCAGACATCTTTAGGCAACATTCTTTACACAGGAGAGCAGATACCAGTAGTTTTCCCATAAATAAGTGATGGTAACTGTGGTACTACTAGTTGGAAAAGCTAATTCTAATTGTACAAACGAAAGAAAAAAGTGATCAAAGCACCTTTCAAATGTTTAAGAAAGACTTTTGTGTAACACTTTTGATCAGATGCTGGCTTGTTTTGCACAGGCTGAACAAAATGAAAGGCAACAGTTACCATCACTATTACAGCTTACAAGAATTAAAGTTGCAACATTAAAAGGAAAAAAAACAGTAAAACTTAAAAAAAATGCTGCTTTTGTAAGAAAGTACAAAACCCTACAAGAACAGCTAAAGTAAAAGTGGGTCTTTGGATCAAACCATAATATTTTTAAGGCATGTTAGAAAAATTTCCACTGACAATAATTGCTAGTCTGATCAGGGTACAAAACAGAATGAGCCAAGGTTACTAACCTTTGCAGAAAGAGGTGGCCACCAATTCTTTCACGTGGCCCTTGAAGGTTACTCTTCCTGTTCTCAAACTTTTTGCCAACATCTCACCAAATGTAACTATCATTCAATCAAGCCAAAGTATGTTCTCACCAGATGAAATACCAAGAAAGCATCAGAATTTGAGAACCACAAGACAGAGAGCACAACAGCATTTACATTTTTTGGTGACAATGAGTGTTGCTTTGTCACCTGCTTTGTCACTAAACATGTAGGACTGTGATGAAACACACGACCAGATGGTCAATTCACTGGTTACTAAGATGTACACATTAAAAAGCTCATCTGACTTTTATTTAACAAACTCTTAACTACACGATTGAAAATTTTACATAATCCTTTACTCTTTAGAGTCTGCAAGACCCTTCATGCTATTTTTGCCCATTTCTATTGTCTGCATAGCAATCCATGGCATAAGACTGTAGGATCTTTACAGAGTATACTTAAATGCATTCTGAACCATCAATGCTATTCAATTATTTGAAATCTGGAAATATGTAAAATAGAGAAATTTTAAAAAGTTATAGGATGTGAAATCTAATTCACTGACAGATATTTCTACTGCAGGAGACAAGTAGTATTCCTTACCCCTTCAATTCCCCTGGACACTGAGGTCTTAAAATTGCGTTTAGTATAAAGGGCTGAAATTTTATATGAACAAGGTGCTTCAAAATTGAGGATGATGGAAACTCCATGAAAGAAAGCAATTTGCAACTAAAAATTCAGAAAGACTGATTAGAACTAAATACTGATTTTTACACATGCATCCTTTCCCTTTTCTCAGAAGACAAGAAGTCTAACTGAGAATAGTCTGACCAGGTCTTTTCCATCTGCTGAATTTTTGCCAATCACCAAACACTCTGATATAAATTATTCACATGAGACATGGGAGTTTTTTTATTCAAAAAATGCTCTAAAATAATTTAAGAAATAAAGCTAATACAGTCCTTGAGACAAATCTAAAGGACAGATTTTTAGAAGAGGCTAGTTAGTGTCTCTTAACTTTGTGCCAAATTTTGGAAGGCAACTAATATATATATGCACGCATACAAGCACACACCCTTTCATTACCTAACAAAAAACTAGAGTTACTACATGAGATTGTGACACCAGTGAAATACAGGGTGGCATGTAGACCACAGGCTCAGTGATTTTGCAGTTTTGAAGGCCAAATTTATCTACAGAGGACCAACTCAAGAAAATCTCTTCAGCATTTAAAACTCTGAAGCTCAAAATTGAAAAATCATCTACACTTGATTGTAAAACTTTGAATAGGTATTTCTGTGCCATTAGTCATGCAAATGATAAATACTTCACAGCTATGAAAACTAAAAATGTCAGAGCTTGAGCACCTTTTCAAAACAAAATATTCACTCCCACTCTATTTGCCACTTCAGTAATCAGGGCAAAATTGGTGCAGGAGAACCTTTGTAGAGCACATCAGGAAAATTAGAGATAAAAGATTTTTCATCCCTTACTTATTATCCTACAACTTATATCCTACCTTTAAGCCAGAATTGTTTCACATGGTTATTCAATTTTTCAAAATGTCAACATTAAAGCTCTGGAACAGCAAACTTGATTTTGAAAGAAAGTTAGCTTGGGATCACACCAAAAACCATAGCCCTTAAAGGCAAAAAACATTTTGTTGTCTTAACAAACTTAAAAATGCAGAATGTCTGTACTGTCCCATGAGGTTTCTGCAAATGGGAACATCTGGATGCAACATGGCTTCATTTTCCTTACAAGATGGTACTAGTTAGTCTACTAAAATGCTCCTTGTTAGTAAGGCTAAGCAATTTCTTTTCATCATAGTTGCTTCCTCCATGTTCAGTAAAGTGATAAAGACATTTCCTGCTTTGTAAACAGAGGCTTGTTTGCTTATTTTTTTTATCTGAACAAAACCTGAAGAGATCTTCCATTTTCAGTAGCAAAGCAGATGATTTAACACATTATAAAACCAGACTGCATTTTCCACAACCTGTTCAGACCTCTCATTTTCAAGGACTGGTGCAATGAGTTCCATGTCACAGACTAGGATAAAATATACAACTAACAGCATCGATTTTGCAAACAAGAAATAATATGCCAGCCTCATAGAGAATGTCCCCTATAATGCTGTCAGCAGTATGGTTGATCCTGCTTTACTTGAATGAGTTAACGTGGCCAGAAGCACTTACTATAAGTCCTAAAATTCTGTATTTGTATATTTTTCTCTTAAAAAAAAAATTAACAAAAAACAAAAAAACCCCCCAAAACAGAACAAATATTTTAATTTTGAATGATCATTGCAGGTCTTCTCATTTCTCCCTCGAGAATATTCCCAATTTATGCAATACTTTCTGCTGTCTGGGACAATGCCAACATATCTTTCAAATGAGATCACCCTGTAGATTAACTGGCTACGCCTTCGAGTTGCAGGTGCATAAGGGAGACTGAGGACGGTAGTGAAAAATGTAGTTACTGAACCCAAATGTATTCAGAGACACTGATTGACAATCACTGCTTAGCTCTGAATAAGTATGTAACTTCACTGTAGATTCATTCCACACATCCTTGCAAATCAGGCAGTAAAGCAGACAGGATTTTTACCACCTACAAAAATTGAGTAAATTGTGTCCAGGACATGTCCATTTTTAAATGCTATTGTATGTTACACGCAGAACAGCATGGATCATCTTTGTCTGGCTGAGCGGCATAGTTCATTTGTCTAACAATTTCTGCAAAGAGCTCATCCACCATTGTTTTACTTTTAGCAGACGTCTCCATAAAGGGACAACCCCATTCTTCAGCCAAGGCTCTTCCCTCATTTGAAGATACTTCTCTCTCACTTTCCAGGTCCACTTTGTTCCCAACCAAGATTACTGGTACTTTCTCATACCTATGGAAAAAAACAAACACATATCATGAATTAATAAAAAGTTACACTGAAAAGGTGGGCTTTCTTTTTTTCACAAGGCAATCAGGTTCTCCTGACTCCAGGTCTGGCTGCCCCCAGGTAGGTTTTATTTTTTCCTTCTTCAAACAAATCCTCTTAATCACAATTAACAAATACCTTTTAAAAACATGTGTGGAGTCTGGTACTTCCAAAACCTTGATTTAATGAATATCTGCAAGCTGCTTTATAGTAGGATTTATGAAACCTATTATTATTTAAATAAATAATGAACACCTAAAATCAACTTAGTTATACTTCCAATGTACAATAAAACTTCTTAATAAATCCTATTGTATAAACTAATTTCCCTTCAATCTCTAAGTAGTCAACCCAAACATCATGAATCAAATGTGTTATATATAAAAACTATTTAACTTTAAAAAAAATATGCTTAAAGTTATCTTTAATGATACACAAGTATCGACTGACAATTTTTATTAGTTTATTCTCAACTCCCACTTCTAAATAAGCATATATAGCAATAATAATAATTTACTAATTTATTCTTGGTAAACTACATTTTGGTCATTTACAGCTGAAGAGTGTTAGCTATTATATTCTTTTCATGGAAGCTTAATGATTATTACTATTAACATCGTTCCAAAAACACACTAGCACAAATTCTTATCAACGATGTAGAAATGACCATGGGTTTCCCAAGGCTATGGCAGTAGAATTCAAATCCTGCCTTCTTTTATCAAATTGAGTTGAGCTCTACCAAGCTGAGTTTGGCCACTGTGACAGACTGTTAGCTACTGGGTGATAAATTCTTTGGCCATGATATAGAATAGTAACAATACTATTACAGAATTCATTGGATGGATCTTATCCATTCTATTCAGCTGCAGTGGATAGATACAAAGGTATGTTTTACTCCAAGTCAACAATTCAATTCAACAAACACTTAAGTATCTATTACATGTGGAGCAGAGGGTAAGATGACAAAAAAAGTTCTCTGGCTCCAACAACCATTCTACTAGGAGGCTATGATGCATATAATGGCATGTTTTAGAAAACACTAAAAAATGAAGAATGGGAACATCGGGAAGGGTCCAGAAAAGGAGCGGGCAGCAGCCGAGCAGCAGACCTACACAAAGAGGGCCTTCTGAGGATAAATACAGATTGTTAAGAGATGGAACGTCAGCTTCATAGATAGTAAAGAGGAATAGTAGGCTAGTCTGTCTATTACAGAGTGAAATGAAGTCAGGTAAAATAACCATGAAAGAAAGTGTGAAGAGTGTTTGGAGGCATCACTGCTAGGAAGGGCAGGAGGATGGATGATGATACACCAAACTAGTCAGAAAGAAGAACAGTGAGACAGGTAGGAGTAACAATAGCAGTCAGTAGTGTCATCAAAGCAAGCCGGAATGCAAAGGGTTTAGAAGTGAAGGGGAAATGAAGAAGTAGTGGTAGCAAGAATAGATGGTTCTTCATATAAGACTAGAGAAAGTTAGCCCAAGGGGATGGCAGGATCAAATGAAGGGATATTTAAGGATGAGAGGCCTAGCTATGTTTGTAGAAAGCAGACAATGAGAAGAAAATATAAATGAGGCCATGATAAAACGCTTTAATATCTAGTCTAAGCAAAGCACTATGTCATGGATAGAGGAAAGACAAAGAAGAATCCTGCTTTCTAGAAGATTACAGGTGACTGCAGCCAAGATGGTGGTATAAAAGCAGTGACTTGCTTGAGCTCTCCCCCAAATCCCTGAAAAAAAAATGGCTCTAAACAAATTCTAGAGCAGCAGAACCCACAAAAAGAGTGAAACAAATTTCCAGCCCAAGACAACTTGGATGGTTAATTGGAAAGGCCTATTGCACTGGGCTGGGAGAGTAGCTCAGTTCAGCGTGGGCCATGCAGGCAAAAACAGGGCCTTGGTGAACCTGGAGCAGGCCTCAGGGGATTGAATCAAGGGAATCTATGGTGGTTTCCAGACTCCTCAACCCACAAATTCCAAAGACAACTTAAAAGGTCAATAGGAAAGGTGTGTCTGAAAGTGGTGAGAGAGATGCTTGGTCCTGGTCCCTGCACATCCCCAGGGTGGCGGCTGCTTCCAGAGCCCGCAGTCAGGGGAGATCAAGAGGCTGATCAGTGGGGGACTGCAGGGATCTCTTCGCTGGTGCTGAGGCAGGATTCTCTTGTTTTGCCCCTGCTTGGATCTGGGCTGCAGTTCTGGGTGGTGGTGCTGGGGCAAGGAGGAGCGCTGGTGTAGTGGAGCTCCTAGTAGTGATGCAGAGGAAATCCTCACAGTTTCAAGGCAGAAAAGAATTCTTGTGGTCACTCACAGACCAGAGCACAGGCCAAGAAAGGAATAAATTCCTCGACCTTGATCATACCACCTTGGAAGAACTGAAAATTTACGGGTCCCTAGAAGTATCTCTGAAAACAGCTGCACAAAACTGCTGAAGCTTGGGACAGTACATTCTCCACACTGGAAGCAGACCTTAACAAAGAGTTTAAAACTCAAGTAATTGGCTGGGAACATGAGCAAAATGCACAAAAGTCAGACCACAGAACCTTTCTTTGGTGACAAAGAAGATCAAAACATACAATCAGAAGAAGACAGCAAAGTCAAAGCTCTCCAAGAAAAATATGAATTGGTCCCAGGCCACAGAAGAGCTCAAAAAGGATTTTGAGAAAGCAAGTAAGAGAAGTAGAGGAAAAACTGGGAAGAGAAATGAGAGTGATGTAAGAAAAACATGAAAAACAAGTCAACAGCTTGCTAAAGGAGACCGCCCCCAAAAAATGAAGAAAATAACACCTTAAAAAACAGACTTACCCAAATAGCAAAAGGTACAAAAAGCCAAGGAGAAGAACGCCTTAAAAAGCAGAATTGGCCAAACAGAAAAGGAAGTCCAAAAGCTCAATGAAGAAAATACTTCCTTAAAAATTAGAATGACTATGAGAAATCAAGAAATTGTAAAACAAAACCAAAAGAATGAAAAATAGATCCAGCAGAGATAATGTAAAAATCATTGGACTATCTGAAAGCCATGATCAAAAAAAGAGCCTAGACATCAAGAAATTATCAAGGAAAACTGCCCTGATATTCTAGAACCAGAGGGCAAATAGAAATGGAAAGAATCCACCGATCATCTCCTGAAAGAGATCCCCAAAGGAAAACTCCTAGGAATATTATGGCCAAATTCCAGAGTTCTCAGGTCAAAGAGAAAATATTGCCAAGCAGCCAGAAAGAAACAATTCAAGTACTGTAGAAACACAATCAGGATAACACAATATTTAACAGCTTAGGGTACTAGAGGGCTTGGAAATGAGGAGTTCAAAGGTGATAGGATTACAACCAAGAAATCACATACCCAGCAAAACTGAATATAATCCTTCAGGGAAAAAAAATGGACATTCTGTGAAATAGAGGACTTTCAAGCATTTTTGATGAAAAGACCAGAGCTGAATAGAAAATTAGACTTTCAAATACAAGACTCAAGAGAAGCATGAAGAGGTAAACAGGAAAGAGAAATCATAAGGGATTTATTAAAGCTGAACTGTTTACATTCCTACGTGGAAAGATGGTATGTGTAACTCAAGAG